AACTGTGGTCAATGTCATGAGACAAAGTATATGTGAACTGCTGTATGGAAAGTAAATTTGCTCTGTAAATCTTCACCCAAATCACAATAAAAAATAAAATATAAAATAAAAAACTAAAATTGACTGAATGTGATCTGTAAAAGAAAGTGATGAAACAAAGATAAAGCCAAGGCTTTTAGTCTAGTACTGAAAAGATGGAGTTGTCATCAAAAATTGAAAAAGCTATATAAATATACTCATTGCCATTGAGACAATCTTGACTCACAGTGACATCTCCTTGGGTGTCCTAAGTGGTATCTTCTGTAGAAGCAGATTGCCCAGTCTTCTTTCTGAGGAGTGTCTGATGGGTTTGAAATGCCAGCCTTCTGGTTAGCTAGGCACTATGCTACCAGAGCTCCTATCAAGTAATATAAGGACTGATTATTGATAAACGGATTTAATAGTGTAGAAACCATTGATTACCTCAGTTTTGTAGGGTGACAGAGGTAAAAGCATGACTAGAGTGGATTTAAAAGAGCATGAGAGAAGGACCTCACTACTACTAAGAAAGAACAGCCAGGAGCAGAGTGCATACTTTGGACTTGGGTTCCTTGCACTGAGAACCTCCTAAGCCAGGGGAAAACTGATGCCAAGAGGCATGGACATCTCCAAGGAATGCTGGGTCCACAGATGTTGAAAGGAACTTTCCCTAGAACCAGCATCTTGAATACAGACTCCTAGCCTCCTAAACTGTGAGAAAATAAATTTGTCTTTCTTAAAGCCCAAAAATAAATAAATAAAAGAGCATGAGAGGCAAGAAACTGAAAACTGCAAGCTTGGATAACTTCTCAAGTTTTGCTGGAAAGGGTAGTAGTTGGTATCAGAGGTGATTCTAGAAATAAGATAAAATAACAGTGTGTTTCTATGCTGAAAGTGCTCTGGTGATACAGTGGTTAAGGCATTTGGCTGCTAACCAAAAGTTCAGTGGTTCAAACCCACCAGCCGCTCTGCAGAAGAAAAATTAGGCAGTCCCTAAAGATTTATAGCCCTGGAAACCCAATGGGGGTGACTATGAGTCAGAATCAACTCAATGGCAGTGTGTTTGGGTTTTGGCTTTTCTATGCTGAGGGAAATAGTCCTATAGTTAGAAAAATGATTTTGAAGAGAGTAGAGAGAGTTGCTTCAGCAATGTCCTTCCATAGGTGAGAGAGGATGAGATCTAATACACAAGTGGAGAAATTGACTTTAGGTAGATGGTCACAGTCCACAGTAACAATCAGAAAGGAAGAGATAGGGGTGCAGCTGTTGGTAGCTGGACAGAAGTAGTGGTAGATGTTTATGGAACTTCTTTTCTAGTTGCTTTTTACTTTTTTTTGGTAAAGAAACAAGGTCATCAGCTGATCTTGAGAGTCTCACCAGAGTGAAAATAAAGGAAGAAGTATTGTAGGTTCCAAAGAAGAGAGTGAAATAGTGAAGTGGGAAAGAGCTCAGGGGAAAATAGTTATGATTACCACACAGCATCAGGTCTACATGAAGTTTGTGATCATATATTTTAAAGCAAGATCAGTTGCCTTGATTGTGCATTTCTCTCCAGGTGGTGCAGGCATAGAGTTGGATGTAATCAGGATTGTGGTTTTGTCGAAGGAAAACAATGCAGAAAGAAGGGGTAAAGGAATTGAGGGTGAGGCAAGGGAATGATTATAGCAGGACCTTGGAATTTAAGCTGGGTAAAGAGGAAAGGTAAGGAGCAGTGAAAAGGCAGTAAGATCAGTGGATTGATAGTCTGTGGGGAGTCAAACAATTATTGACATTGGGATAATACAGGAGGTAAGCTGGAAAGATAGGAGGTGAGGGTCAGAGAGTGAGATCCATGAAATGGAGATTATGAGGAAGTTAGTTATGGGTAATGAGGAGGTAGGTCTCCCTATGGAAATTAGCAGCAGAGGTAGAGTTGACGACAAGGTCATTGGAGGTGCACATCAATTACATGCACATGTAATTATACATGTTGGATCATTTACATGCATATTATTTTTAAGTGCTAGGAATTAAGGAGTATTAAACAGTGACCCAGGAGATAAAATCATAGTGAATGACATGTGAGTTAGGAGCCAGTAGGTGTCAGCAAAAATAAAGGGATGTGGATGAGATAATGTGATGACTTACAATTCCTTTTAGAATTTAGGAGGGAGAATGGTCTGGAAGCAGGAGTGAATCGCCCTCTTACAAAGCACAAAGCATGGCTGAGGACATAGCTTCTCACTCTGCCCATTTCTTCTCCTGTCTTCCTTTTAGAGGACTCAAGTGGGGGATGAAGGGAAGCTGGTGCCTCTGCTGCAGATGCTGATGAAAGCTTTGCCAAATGATATGGCTCTGGAGGCAGCCCTGTGCTTGGGTTTCCTGAGGCCCTGCAGCCAGGTGGTCCAAGAGTTCCTGCTGCAGTACCTGGGCCAAGGGCCTAAGATCCAGCAGATGAAGGTGTGAGGGGCAGGAGACTGGTTCCCCAGGGAAGACTGGGAAAAGAGAGGTCAGTGCTAACTTGGGTAGGGTCTGGATCCTGTCATCCTCATCCAGAGAAAGGGAGCTTCAGCAGGGAGCACCATGTTTATGAATATGAAAATGCATGAGTATGAAGTCATGTGGATATGTAAGTGTACATGTGTCTGGAGGTGCATTTACACATGCCCTTATGTGCACACATGAACTTGTGCTGTCACTCAAGAGGCCAGATAAAGAACTCCCCCTACTCCTACCAGTTCTAGGCTTAGCCCTCACTTCAAACAGCATGACCACCCAGACTCCTCTTGGCCCTGTCTGCCCCACCCTGCCCCGCCCCTCACAGGCACTTACGATGCTGGTCAGTGTAATGCATGTGCACTCAGCTACAGTCATCAAGGCCATCCTAGAGCAGTTGTGCTCTTCCAGTGTCCTTGAGGTAAGCTCTGGGGCTACGCTGTACACTTCCTTCTCCAGCAGAACAGGGTTGGGGGTGGGGTGGTAATGGTTTATCCTCATGCCTTTTCCACCCCTGCCCACAGCACCGCTTGGAAGCTGCCAAGATGCTCAGGACCATTGGGCTGGAAAAGATCCAGGCACAGGGGCTGGAAGGACTCACATTTGACCTACTCCGAAAGAAGTTGTATAACGAACCCTTCCTGGTGAGTGTCACCAAAGCTCCTAAGCCCAGGCAGCCCAAATCCACCTGCTTTCCATTCCCTGGAGATCTCCCTTGACTTTGTCCCCACCCAAAGTATCCTATTCACCCTCACCTATTCCCTGTTCCCCTAATGCAACCCATGTTTTTAAGCTCCTTTCCTTTTACTCAGGCAGTTCTGTTTTAAATGTCCCCAAGTCATCACTGCCTGCTCTGCAAGGTAAAAACTGCCTTATCCCACTGGTTAGTAACCCCTCTCTCCTATTAAGTTACTACTGACCAGTCTAAATGACACCTCCTCTGGGCAGCCTTCCCAAACGGCCACAATCACAATCAACCTTGCTTTCCTCTAGGTTCTTTTGCTTTTTATCTTTATAACTTGTTAGAGAACCTACCACAACCTTCTAGAGGCATTTTTCTGAAAAGTAAATCAGATTATGTTTCAACTCTGCATAAGACCTTTCAATGGCTCCCTAATGCCTTGGATATGGCTTATAAAGCCCTTCCCAGCCTGAGAGCCCTGCTTACCACTCTATGCTTAAGGTAGTCATGTCCTGACAGATACTTGTTGTCCCAGTGTTAATTACTCACCAGAGCAGCTCATTTTAAAGAGTCCCAGTTTGATTGCCTCCCAAAATTATTTTCTGTTCCCGTGCTCCCTCTTGCCTCCAGACTTGCACATGCTCTCCCTTCTGCCCAGAAACCAATCCCCCACCCCCAAAACCCTCAGCCTAGTTAACTCCCACTCACCCTTCAGGATTCAGCTAAGGCATCTTCTTCTCCAGGAAACCTTCCTGGCCCCCAAGACTGAATTAGGAGACCCTCTGATGTGCACCCTACACTTAGTCCAGTATTAATACTGCACTGTAATTGTGTATTTAGTACACTCTGAGCTCCAAGTAAGGACCACATGTAACACATAGTTAAGCGCTCATAATGTACACCATTGTGTACTGTTTCCCACCTTGATCCCCCTGCAGGCTATGAGGCAGGCTGTGGCTGAAACTGTGGAGGAGCTCAAGATGAAACCTATGATGATGAACTTGGTGGAGGCGTGAGTGGCCTGGGCTAAGAACTGCTAGGGCCAAATCCTAGGCTGTGGGGAAGCAGCAGGAAGGTCAATGAGAGTTAAGAATCTGCTGCCGGTTCTCAGCTCTCACTTGCCTGTGTCCCTGGGCAAGTCCTCTTTGATCCTGGACTTTTCTTCATCTGTGAAAAGGTTTAATAATGCCTACCACTTAGGGTTGCCATAAAGCTTAAATTAGGAAGAAAAGGACTTGTAAAAGGTAAAGCTCTAGACAGATTTGAGTCCTACTTGTCATTTAGTGCCTCCTGACAAATTGTAGTACTAGCTTTCCCCCACTCCCAGCCCCTTTCCTGACCCAAGAGGGGAAAATGAAATTAGCATTGCTCAAGGGCATTATGCTTTTGGGAAGCAGCAGTCAGTCTCCCTCCTCCACCAATTAACTGGACCACAACACACTCGCTCCCTGCTCCCTTCCACGTAGGCAACTGATGAGCCCAAGTGCCACTACACGCCAGGAAGCAGTCACCTCTTTGGTAAGGCCAGTTCTGCTTCTTTGATCCCTGAGATGTATCGAAAGCAAAGGGAATAGGAAATTGAGCACAGTTACTGAGGGAAAGAAAGGGCTGCCAGGTTTGGGGAGGCTGTGTGGTTGCTTGTTTTAGATTCTAGTCCCGCTAGGAGTTCAGGGTAACATTTTCTTCAGAGTTAGGGGTGGGTAGGATAAGGGACAGGAGATGAGGTGGGGGTGTTGTTTCAACACTGTAGACATTATCTTGATGCTCCTTGAGCAATAATGGGCACTGGAGCCCCATGCAATGCGGTGTGGCAAGAAGAAGGTATCTTTGGGTGGGGGTAGTGGGTGCTCTTTCCCTCTCTCCAGGCTGCAGGGTCACCACAATGGGACTCAAATGAAAACAAGCATAGATAAGGCCCCTTCCTGGAGCTAGCTACTTAAACATTCTCACTACGTATGAGCACACATGAACCTGTGCCGTCACTCACAAGGCTGAGACAGGTGAATGAACCCCACCTACTCTCATCAGTTCTGGACTAGCCCTCCAATGTCTGCCTCTCACTCTGCCTCTGCCAGGGCATCCTGGGTATCCGCAGCCCACAAGTGTACCACTTGCTCCTAGACATGCTAGATTCAGAAAAGAGCCAGGATATGAAGAAGAGTGTAAGCCATTCCTTCCTATTTCTTCCTATTCAAATCTCTATGCCTCCTCCAAGCCTCTCCTGCCCATTTTCACCACTAGCTCCTTGTCAGGAGGGAGGAGTAGGGAATGAGCCCAAAGCTAATGTCCTGGACTTCATGTCTTGGGGCCATACTGGGCTGTGGCCAGAACTCCACCTCTTGGGTGCACCCTTGTCTCTCAGCTTGAGCCTGAAGTGTCCAGCTCAGGGCTTTTGTTTCGATGCAGCTACAAAAAACATTAATCCTTTTGGCTTCAACTGACCCCTGGATCCGAAAAAAGTTAAAGAACAAGGTTCTCTTTGTGTATGAAGCACCTAAACTCAGTGCAGAGCCAGAACCTACAAGGTTCCGGAAGGAGCCTGAGAGCCCAGAAGAGTTAAATATCCAAGACTTTCGACTTGCACAGCTGAGCCCCTTGTTTGTTGCAAAGTCCAGCCCCAGAATGGACCAACAAAAAAAGCTGACAGATCACAGCGGGTCTGTTTTACACCCTACTGTCATGTCAGACTTGCATGCAGCCACTGCTTTCCCATCCTGTTTCTCCAACCCAGTAAAAGACATGTCACAAGCGAAAAAGCCCTGGGAGCCAAGGATCAGGAGACAGCTCCAGACCCTCGCTAAAACCTCCAAATAGGTAGCTCTGTGGGCCTGGCTCCCACTCTCCCTGAAAAAACAAATAAAAGAGTGTTACATTATCCACCATACCTCTGAATCACTGCCACTACTGTGTTCTTCATCCTGATACTTTACTGAAACACCAGTCTCTGCACTCCTGGTAGGTGTTCCTTCCACTCAACCACATACATAGCCTTTCATCAGGGAGCAGAGGGAAGGATAGAGCCAAAACTTCTTTGGATGGCCAGCCTACCTACCTCCCTAAATCAAGTTGTCGTTTAGGTCCAGAATGTGATGACAAGCTAGAGAGTTGAGCCTCTGCCCAGGATGAAGTTGTTAAAAGAAACCTGGGAGACAATCCTATAAAGCTTAGTTTTGGATCCATTTCCTAGTCTCCTATCACCCCCATGGTCCCCAATTCCGTATTAACCATCCTCACTGCTGCCTCTTCTCATGCACCTTTCTACCTGCCTCATGGTCATTCCCTTTGAAAGATTATTTACTCTCTAAAACTGCCTCAGTTTCTACCTTTTTTTCTACGGAAGCTCCAGTTTCCCACTGCCAGCAGGACCTGCCACACTAATCCCAACAAACTCCATCCTCTATCAAGAAGGAAAAGCCTGTGCGACAAATCTGAAATCTACTCCTAGGATCTTTGATTCTGAACAAGTTACTTTTCCAATTCTTTTTCCTCACCTTTCATAAAATAAGGAGAATAATGACTACTACTTCAGAGAGTTCCTATGAAGATTTAACTAATAATATATAAAGTCTAATTGCCTAATATTACATATTAAGCACTCAAATGTGAACCTCTTTTTTTCTCTAGTCTCCTCTTCAGGCTTGTCATGTGAGCCTGTGACCACCAGAGGTCAAAAGAAACTGACTCCTGCCACCCCACTAACTTTTCTAATGGAATTGGAGTAGTCTCATGAGAGGTTAGTTCTTCCCAACAAGCATACAACAAAAAGTCAGATACCTTCCAATTCCCTTAAGGTTCTAGAATAGTACAGTGTAAACAGTAAAAGCCCTGGCTATCAAAATGGGTATTCAGAATCCAGTATGATGTGTTATCACTCAGATTTATCTCTCAACCTGCCTCAACACTTTCAGATTCATGTTTTGCCTCATGGAGAGCTGTATGTTTTCACTCTTCTCAAGTACAAGCAGCACTGCCTGGGGAACCCTATAATAACGTGGCACAAACGACCAAAGAGAAGCAAGATGTTCTTCCCTTTACCCCCTTCTGCAGCTTTGGGCACGTAAGCAATGTAAACCAAATTTTCCCAGGCCACAAGTCTGTGGTTACAAACAAGACCTTAACAGTAATTCAAATTTCACCAGCATAATTCAGGCTGTCACACCTGCAAAATCCTACGTGCAGATTCTCAACCCCTAGCTGTTCATATTTGGGTGTGTCTAGAGAATGTCTTATTACGCAACCAGGTAACAATTTCTGCCCAAAAGCACACCTATCTAGCTTTACCAATTCCCAGCCTAAGACGTAAGAGAGCAATGGGCATAAAGGTCTTCATAGCACACCATCAATGTATTACAGCCTTCCCAGTGTCGAAGCTGTTAAATCAAATACTCTTCAAAGCACACTTAATCCAAGCCACAGCCAGCTTCTCCCAGACTCCCAAGATGCTCACTCCTCTCAACCTGTTGGGACTTCTTATAGATTAAAATGAATCCCTCAAAAAGTTAAGTCCTAACCCCTGGCATCTGTGAACATGACTATCTGTAAATAGGGTTGGTCTTAATACCATTTAAGTAGTCTCTAATAGAAGAGAACAGAGTTAGGGAAGAACAGCCACGTGATGACAGAGGTAGACACAGATGCAAACCAAGGAATGCCAATTACTGGGAGCCAATAGAAGTTAAGAAACAGACATGGAACAGTACTCTCTCAGAGCCCTGAGAAAGCATCAACATAGCCAATACCCTGAGATTTGGACTTCTTGCCTCCTGAACTGAGAAACAATGTATTTCTGTCCTATAAGCCACCCAGTTTGTGGTATTTTGTTACAGCAACTCTAGAAAACTAAAGCATGACAGATCCTTAGGCACTACCCAAAATGTAAGCCTTTTTATACCCCCTCTGCCCTAAACCTTTCTACTGGGCTCTCTAAATGTTCCTTTTGATGCAAACAAAAAACCATGTACACCCTCCACCTCTTCTGCAACAATCTTATCCACCTCTCTGCTGTAACTGAAATCAGGCTCTCTCTTGATGAGGGCTCTTCCTGAAATCTCTCAGGTATTATTCACTCTCCAACATCCTTTCCAATGTAACCACTGTCCTGCACCCTCATATAAAAATCAATGTTCCTCTGAGGGTCCTGCTCTAACACTAGCTATCCCATCTTCTGCTCCACTTCCTCATTTTCCCTAATTCACTGCCTAAACCTTAGTCTTGCCTTAACCTGCATGGACAACCATCTAACATTCTAGCCCCTCAGTCTGTGATCTCAATAAAGGCCTTCTCTTTCATTCACTATGACTACCCACTTCCATAGCCACATCTAACCCTTGTCATACCTAGGAATTACACTATCTCTAAAATCTTTAAACGTCCTACTTTCTGACCCAAACCTTTTATCTGTCCAGCTCTTATGTCCCCACTACTAGTTCTTTGAATCTCATCAGTAACACTAAGCTCTCGACTTCCCTCAAATCTACTAGACCCTTACATTTTTTTCCCCTACTCAGTCTACACCCCTTGATCCATCAACACTATCCTCATACCTCCACTACCATCTGTCTAATCAGTAAAACCTCTATTCTGAATCAAATTGTCTCTTGTTCCTATAACCAAAATGATCAAAGCTGGAGAAAAATCCTACATCCATGCAGTTTGGTGCCCTCAAAATATCTGTCTCCTAACTTGAGCCTTATTGTTGCCTAGTAACTTTGTTTCTAGCTACAACACTTTCCCATTCCCCACAGTGGTTATCTCAAACCTTCTCTGCTATTCTTAAATCTCCTAGTCTCTTCAAACTTTTTATCACTTTCCCCAACTCTCAGACCATTATACTTACTGAGGGAAAAAAAACTCATCAGATGGAATCACCTCAACTTCCTGCCACCTCACTTATAAGCTTCCTTGTATGTAGCAGTTAGGAATATAGGCTCTAAAGCCAGATGCCTGCGTTAGAACCTAGATCTACCATTTACCAAAGATATGATCATGGTCATCCAGCCGCAGGAATCCAGGTGGAGACAGAACTCAGGCACGCCCAAAGCAGCAGGGCCGGAGAGTGGGAGAAAGGGAATTAAAAGGCCCAGGAACCAAGACAGAGGAGCAGTCAGCCACAGGGATCCAGGTGAAGAGAGAGAACCCAGGCACATCCAAGGCAGCAGGACGGGAGAGCAGGAGAAAGGGGATTAAAAGCCAGGAACCAGGACAGAGGAGGAGTCAGCTGCAGGGACCCAGGTAAGGGTGGTACGAGAGGTTTCCAACAGGGAGACAAACCTGTCGGTTTGTCCTACCATGGTGACATGGTGCACAGGTATCAGCCCAGCTTACAGACTGAGACAGACTAGGAAGAAGGAAGAGGCCGTCCACTTCTCAAAGAATTGGCCAGGGAAAACCTTATGAATAGCAAAGAAACACTTTGATACATTACCACGCAACTTTATGAATAGTCCAGTTAGGCTAGAAAGCTCTCAAAATAGGACTGGGAAAGAGCTGTATCATCTGAGTACACCCAGCCTTACTCATATGGATAAGGTAAAGCTTTCGAGACCTCCATTTGCTCATGTGGCACCACTCAAATTGAAGAGAAACAGCTGCAGACATCCATTAATCATCGGAACATGGAATGTACGAAGTATGAAGCTAGGAAAATTGGAAGTTGTCAAAAATGAAATGGAATGCATAAAGATTGATATCCTCAGCATTAGTGAGCTGAAATGGACTGGTTTTGGCCATTTGGAATCAGACAACAATGTGATCTACTATGCCTGGAATGACAGTTTGAAGAGGAATGGCGTGGCATTAATCATCACAAAGGAGGTTTCAAGATCTGTCCTGAAGTACAATGCTGTCAGTGATAGGATAATATCCATATGCCTATAAGGAAGACCTGTTAATATGACTATTATTCAAATTTATGCTCCAACCACCAAAGCCAAAGATGAGGAAATTGAAGATTTTTATCAAGTTCTGCAGTCTGAAATTGACGGAACATGCAATCAGGATGTGTTGATTATCACTGGTGACTGGAATGCGAAAGTAAGAAACAAGAATCACCAGTAGCTGGAAGATTTGGCCTTGGTGACAGGAATAATGCTGGAACTCACACGGTAGAATTTTGCAAGACCAACGAATTGTTCATTGGAAACACCTTTTTTCAACAACACAAACGGCGGCTCTACACATGGACTTCACCAGATGGAACACACAGGAATCAGATTGACTACATCTGTGGCAAGAGGCGGTGGAAAAGCTCAGTATCTTCAGCCAAAACCAGGCCAGGAGCTGATTGTGGAACAGACCATCAACTGCTCATGCTGATACGCAAGTTCAACTTGAAGTTAAAGACAATTAAAACAAGTCCAACAGAGCCAAAATATGATCTTGAGTATATCCCTCCTGAATTTACAGATCATCTAAGGAATAGATTTGATGCACTGAACACCAACGACTGAAAACCAGAAGAATTGTGGGAGGGTATCAAGAACATTATCCATGAAGAAAGCAAGAGATCACTAAAAAAGACAAGAAAAGAAGACCAAAGTGGACGACAGCAGAGACTCTGAAACTTGCCCTTGAGCAAAGAGTAGCTAAAGCAAATGGAAGAAATGACAAGATAAAAGAGCTGAACAGAACATTTCAAAGAGCAGCTCAAGCAGACAAAACCAATTACTATAATGAAATGTGCAAAGACCTGGAGTCTGAAAACCAAAAGGGAAGAACAGGTTCGGCATTTCTCAAGCTGAAAGAACTGAAGAAAAAATTTAAGCCTCGAGTTGCAATATTGAGAGATTCTATGGGCAAAATATTGAATGATGCAGGAAACATCAAGAGAAGATGGCAGGAATACACAGAATCACTGTACCAAAAAGAACTGGTCGATCTTCATCCATTTCAGGAAGTGGCATATGATCTAGAACCAATGGTAATGAAGGAAGAAGTCAAAGCTGCAATGAAAGAACTGGCAAAGAACAAGGGTCTGGGAATTGACGGAATACTGATTGAGTTATTTCAACAAACAGATGCCCCATTGGAGGCACTCACTCGGTTATGCCAAGAGATTTGGAAGACAGCTACCTGGCCAACTGACTGGAAGAGATCCATATTTGTACCCATTCCAAAGAAAGGTGATCCCACAGAATGTGGAAATTATAGAACAATATCATTAATATCGCACGCAAGTAAGAGCTTACTGAAGATAATTCAAAAACGTTTGCAGCAGTATACTGACAGAGAACTTCCAGAAGTGCAAGCTGGATTCAGAAGAGGACGTGGAACAAGGGATATCATAGCTGTTGTCAGATGGATCTTGGCTCAAGGCAAAGAATACCAGAAAGATGTTTACTTGTGTTTTATTGACTATGCAAAGGCATTTGATTGTGTGGATCATGACAAATTATGGATAACATCGAGAAGAATGGGAATTCCCAAACACTTGATTGTACTCATGAGGAACATGTACCTTGACCAGGAGGCTGTCATTCCAACGGAACAAGGGGACACTACATGGTTTAAAATCAATAAGGGAGTACATCAGGGTTGTATCCTTTCCCCACACTTATTCAATCTATATGCTAAGCAAATAATCCAAGAAGCTGGACTATATGAAGAAAAACATGGTATCAGGATTGGAGGAAGACTCATTAACAACCTGAGATATGCAGACGATACAACTTTGCTTGCTGAAAGTGAGGATGACTTGAGGGACTTACTGATGAAGGTTGAAGAATAGTCTGCAGTATAAATTACGTTTCAATATAAAGAAACCAAAAATCCTCACAACTGGACCAATGAGCAGCATCACGATAAATGGAGAAAAGATTGAGGTTGTCAAAGAATTCACATTGCTTGGTTCTACCATCAATGCCAATGGAAGCAGCAGTCAGGACATTAGACGACATGTAGCATTGGGAAGGTCAACCACAAAGGAACCGTTTCAAGTGCCGAGGAGCAAGGATGTCTCCTTGAGGACTAAGGTGCACCTGACACAAGCCATGGTATTTCCAATCGCCTCGTATGCATGTGAGAGCTGGACAATGAATAAGGAAGACTGAAGAAGAGTTGATGCTTTTGAGTTGTGGTGCTGGCGAAGATTGCTGAAAGTACCGTGGACTGCTAAAAGAACTAATAGATCTGTCCTGGAGGAAGTGCACCCAAAGTGCTCCTTGGAAGCGAGAATGGCCAGACTTCGTCTCACCTATTTTGGTCATGTTGTCAGAAGGCACCATTCCCTGGAGAAGGATATCATGTTTGGTAGGGTGGAGGGTCGACAAAAAATGGGGGAGGACTTCAACGAGACGAATTGACAAGGTGGCTGTGATGATGGGCTAAAAAGTGTAGCAGGGATCGTGGAGCTGGCACGGGATCGGGCAGTGTTTCGTTCTGCTGTGCATGGGGTCGCTATGAGCTGGAAATGACTGGATGGCACCTAACAACAACAACGATCATGGGCAACTTGCTTAACCCTCTTTGTGCCTCCATTAATGACTGCACCCTCTGAGAAACCCCTTTCTAATGGCAATCAAAATCATTTATATCGTCCTTCTCTTTCCTGAAGTATTACATTCACAGAATTTTTGTAAAAGATAAAGGAGTTAATATACTACTGACACATGAATTCCCAATAAAGGTTGGTCATTTGTTACTATTGTTATTATCATCATCTCCATCTATCTTTCCCTCTAATTGCAATACACAAGGCATTCATTTCTAAGGCAAATCCTCTACCAGAGTTCTGAGTGTAATCGCTCCTTCAAGGGATTTGAAATGATCAATTATCCCCATTTCCTTCCAAATAGTATCTAAATAAAATAACCTACCAAAGCCCATACTCCTGTCTAGGTACCTCCTCTCATCTCATCTCACCTCCAAACCACCCTTCATGTCAACTCTTCAAAATCTTACTAGCTTATTCTAGTATACAGGTAAGATAACCACTGCTCTAAAATCTCATCTTAATTATATCCACACTCATCACTTCCATTTATGTTGATTACTATCAAATCTGTATTCCTAACACACTCTAGTCAGTAAACATTCATTTAGTGCCTACTCTGTGCCCAACGCTGTTCTAGGCACTTAAGGAAGAACAGTGTTCAGAACAACATACAAGGTTCCCTACTTTACTGGAGTCTATATTCTAATCAGGGGAAGAGAAATAAATCACCACAAAAAGATCATTTCAAAGACCGATAAGCATGGTGACATTAGAAAAGGTGAGAATGACTGGGGAGAGGAGCAGTATTTTAGATCAGATGATCAGGGAAGACTTGGGAGGGAAGAATTTGTTTTGACACTCTAATAGTCAGCCAAGGAATGCCTGAAGGGAGAGAAGCCGAGACAAAGCAAAGAGCATATACCAAGACACTGAAGCAGAAGCGTATTTTGGTACTGTCAAGAACCATGGCCAAACATGGTTGAAGCAAGATAAGTACAGAGAAATATTACAAAATGAGGTTGGAGAGGGAGGCAGAGACCAGATCCCATAGGACGTTGTAAGACAGGTTAAGGAATTTATGAAAGTCAATGAAAGGGTTTTAAAACAGAGGCAAGACAAGTGGTATGATTTTCATTTTTACATTATCATTTGGTTGCTGTGTGAAAAACCAAATTTTAAAAACTAAGATTGGAAGTAGAGAACCAGGTAACAGGCTATTGCCAACTGTCCAGAAGAGATATGATAGTAACAAATACCAGGACTGTAACCAAGACTATAAATGTGGTTTCTGGATGTAACCAGAATGAATGTACAGAATGAATGGAAAGGGAGAAACTAAGGATAAATTCTAGGCTTTTTATCTAACCTAGGTGGATAGTAGAGACATTCACTGAGATTAGGAAAATTATTTCAAAGTGGTGGGAGATCAAAAGTTCTACTCAGTACATATTAAATTCTAAGTACTCATTTTATATCCAAATGGAAAGAACAAGTAGACAGCAGGATATAATCTAAAATTAAGGGGAAAGGTCAGGACTGGAGACATAAATTTGATAGTCATCACTGTTTTACATGGTATTTAAAACCACAGTCTAAATGAAATTACCCAGAGAAAAGTTAATGTAAATAGAAAAGAGAAAGGGGCTTGAAACAAGCCCTCGGAAACTTCCAACACGTAAGTAAAGATCAAGTAGAAGAGACGCTGGCTAAGGAGAAAAAGAAGTCAAGTCACTAAGGCAACCAGGGAAATGTGATGTTAGTGCAACTCTTTCTGAGCTCCAAATCTATACACCCAACTGCCTGTTGGATGTCTCTATTTGGAAGTTTCACAGGTGCCCCAAACTCAACACGCCCAAAACGGAATTCATTCTGCCATCAGTCCCTAAGCCTGTTCTTTTTCCAGTGTGTCCTATTTCAATGAACAGTACCGCATTCACCCAGTTACCCTGGCCAGAAACCTCTTCCCTCTCCCTGAACACCCTACCAAATCCTTTAAAGTCTCCCTCTACATTTCTCAAATCTCTTTATCTCCTTCCCCATAGTACTGTCTGAGTCCAGGCTAATGTCATCTCTAACCTGGCTTACCATTCCTTCTCCAGGCCAATCTCTTCACTTCACTCTCCACAAGGCAGCCGTATTATCTTTCCAGTTATGTCACTCAAATCATGCCACTTCCCCTGCTTAAAATCTTTTAATGACTCCCTCTCAAAAAGCTGGCAGTTCGAATTCACAGACGGGCCTCAAAGAAAGGCCCAGCAATCTACTTCTGAAAGATGACAGCCATTGAAAACCCTATGGAGGGCAGTTCTACTCTGAAACACATGGGGTTGCCATAAGTCAGAATGAACTCACTGGCAACTGGTTTACTGGATTTGGAGGCAGGGTAAAAGTAAAATGTAATCATGTAATACACTTGTCCACTTTTCCAGTCCTATCTTTTGCACACTAACCCTTGAGTTCTTCACTTTAGTAACTGAACTGCTCCCCACTGTCTCTCTAAACTCTTGATTTGCTCATGTCATTAGTTTCCTGCTAGTAACACCATTTCCTCACCCCAGCCCCTTTACTTAGCCAATTCCTACTCTTCCTTCAAGACTCACTAATCCTATGACTAGATTAAGCATCCTTCCAATAAGCTGTCAATGCACTTTGTATTTATCCTTATCAGAGCAATCTATTTACTTGAGCAGGAACATAAACAGCATCTGGTCCAGTGCATTAATCACAGGGTAGGTGAGTTTTTTAATGGGACCAAGTAACATACCACGTACACTGATATCTTAGCCCTGGCTTGTGAAATCCTTACCTTTCTTATCTAGCCCACAGACTGATACTCCTAGCATGTAAAAAATGTTTCTCAGTGTAAACTGGCTATATAGTCATCGCCTGCTAAGCATGCCGTAAGTAAAGATTCCCAGACCTACCTCCCCATCTCCAAGATTCTGATTCCACAGACCTGAGGTGGTACCTGGGAAATTGTTATTTCAGCAAACTCTTCAAGTGATTCTGACTTGCAGTCACTCTTGAGAACTATTCTAAACATAGTATGAACTCAATAAATAATGCTGAAAGTAACATTTTAGTTTACTGATCAGAAGGTGACTGGACTGATCTCCTAATTCTTTAGGGTTACAGTCTGCTTCATTCGAGACCTGAATGTGATAGAACAATGCACTAATGTACGAAAGTCCACAAAAACAAGCAGCCTTTATTGCAGTATTACAAAACACTTTCCATTTTGGCAATATTTTACAATGCACTCTGCTTCAAGGGTCGGGAAGGAGAAGTTTAAAACTAAAAGGGGGAAATTTCAACGGACATTTCTAAAAGAAAACTGTCCCAGCCCTCCCACCCAAATAAAAATCCAAATGTCACTTAATTTTACTACCCAAGAAGAGGCCACGAGGAAAGCAGCAGGCAAAACTCTGGCAATTTCACTATGGATCATGTCAGAGACAAAGGAACATTCAAAACAGTCATCAGTATGGTCGGTTGCGCTGATCATTTCTGTAGTCGTTTCTGGGGATGAAAAATAAAGAGCCAGACTAAATTCTAATTTTCTACCAATGGAGCATTTAGATACTTCTTCAGGGTGCTGATGATTGGCATCCATTAGACAATGAAAATTTCTCTAAGGCTGAGACCATCCCTTATTACTATATTCCTAGAAGGTGCTTAATAAATGCCTAATCTATCTATCAGCTTTAAGACAAAGTTACCAGAAGTTTTACTATCACTAGCTCTCAAAATTTCTATCCAAAATAAGGATGCCAATCCACTGAAGTATTTCAGGAGGTCAGAGACTGTGCCAATTCTAGCAGAGTGAACAGGAGAATAAGCAAGCAAATACTTATCATGTATAAATTCTGGATCTGCTACTTATTAACTATGTGAGTCTGTAAAACGGAAGTATATCTACCTCCTGAGGTTGACAGAAGGACTAGAATTACAGTATATAAAGATTAACATTATTTGCCACATGGTAAGAAGTACTCAATATGGTAGGCTATTAATAATTAATAATAGTTAATGATTATACTGTGCTTAACTATGGGCTAACAACTGTTAAAGCAAGCTAATACAGCTGTACAAAAGAGGTATTATCATCACTGGCCTGATTTTACAGATGAGACTAGTGACGCTCTGAAGGGTTAAACTTGTCTAAGGTCAAACAGCTAGTAAACTGTGCAGCCACGATTGAACCCAGACAGTCTGACTCTAGAAGCCATGCTTTTAACCGTATGCTATACAAACTTTTGCTACCTTATACTGCCCTCTGGCATTAAAAACAGATGTTTAGTTTAAAAAAATCTATTTAATATCATTAGTTCAACTTTTTCTACCTCTACACCATTCATGTGCACAACACACTCCACTCCCATCAGTATCATCAGTAATTTTCATCTGGAAAAGGCTATTACCAGACTCTCCAGAGATACCTGTATGTGTTTTGATGAAGAATCCCCTATGAAAGATGTGTTCTCCCCTCAGTTAGGTTAAAAATCCCTGATTTAAATGTAATTTCATGTTATTATCATTCCACCTCAATTATCGTTAGCTTTGAGGGAGAATAACACACACATACATATATACATACCAAATATACCTATTTATGAATAAAAATTTCTAAAACAAAATAAAACTTAGAAATTGCTAAGCAAGGAAATAAATGGATCTTCTCCAGCCTAACTGAGAGAGCTGTCAAAGAGAAATTCAAGTTCCCAAAAGTCAGACAATAAGAAACGAATGTGACATACAGGGCTGACCCTAAAATCTAAGAGCAGTGAGATAAAAAGTTTACCAAGTAACACTCACCTTCCTCCCATTTTGCCTCCATAGCCGCCTCGATCTCCTCCATAGCCCCCACCTCGGTCTCCTCCATAGCCACCACCACTTCTGTCTCCTCCGTAGCCTCCACTTCGGTCTCCACCGTAGCCAGCACTACGGTCTCCTCCATAGCCCCCCCCACTTCGGTCTCCTCCATAGCCTCCTCGGTCTCCTCCATAGCCTCCTCGGTCTCCACCATAGCCTCCTCGGTCTCCACCATAACCACCTCGGTCTCCGCCATAGCTGCCTCCTCGATCTCCACCATAGCCACCTCCTCGGTCTCCGCCATAGCTGCCTCCTCGGTCTCCACCATAGCCGCCACCTCGGTCTCCACTGTAACCGCCTCCTCTGTCCCCGCCATAACCACCTCCTCTGTCCCCACTATAGCCACCCCCACTTCTGTCTCCACCATAGCCACCCCCACTTCTATCTCCTCCGTAGCCACCGCCGCCACTTCTGTCTCCGCCATATCCGGCCCCACTTCTGTCTCCACCGTAGCCGCCTCGGTCTCCACCTCTGCCCCCACGACCTCTGTAGCCCCTCTCTCCACCATAGCCTCTCCCCCGGAAATCTGCAAGGTAGAAATGCAAACCAATGAGCCCAGCAGAATAATGTAAAGCCCCCTTAATGCAATCAGAAGACTAGCACCATGAAGATGCTATTAAAGGGCCGACCCACCTCCTCCTGAGGGACGAGAGTCCTCTGGTCTGGGCTCATTGCATTGATTGCAGGAATTCCTTCGAGCAAAGTTCATGTTTCCACATGACCTGAAAAAGGAGGATGATAAAATGTTCCTAGAGGGTTTCCAAAAGATTTAAAACCCCATCTTGCACACCTCCAACCCCAATCCCAACCCTACTTCCAACAAAGTAAATGGGATACTTACGGATTAGGGCAAACCCAGTCCCCACTTTTGGGGTCTCCACCTCTCCCCTGAAAGCCTCCACGACCTCTGTATCCTCCACGGCCTGGGGGAAGGGAGAGGGAAATGAGAGAAAGGGGAAAAACCAGCAGCAGATATTAACAAAACAGAGGAAAAGTATAAGCAAGTACTCAGTAATAATGACAAGTCCCTAAAAAACTAATGCCTTTATGGCAAAACTTAGTAATTCTTTGATTTGAGGCTTTATTTAATAAATGTAGGAAATGTGAGAAGAGACCCCAGGCCTACATTACAGGGAAATAGTGCACTAAAAAACAACAATATTCATTCTCTGTAATACCTAATTTGAGAAAAAGTGTTAAAAGTTAAATGGGAAGACATATCCCAAATATGAAGAGCAGTGACTACATTAAGAAGTTTATAAGCTGGTCAAATTAACCCCACAGTACCATTTAAAACAACTGCCTCCTGATTTCCAAGTCAACAACAAACTGCTATATAGCTTTCCAAAGGTATTTCTGGGACCTTCTCCACCACTCTCTTAAATACCTAATCTCCTACTATTCAGTACTCACCCTATTCTTTAAGGTAGAAGAAAAAAAGATCTAAGGAGAAAAAAGGGGCAGCAATTTCAGAGAACCAGGGACAGAACATGGACTCAAATACAAACCCTTAGTTTAGTGTCCAGGCCTGTGAATAACATACATCTTACCTCGCCGCCCACCTCCACTTCCACCTCCTCTCATGAATTCAGGTCTTCTGGTGGCAAAGGATACTTTAATGATGTTCCCATGGAATTCTTTTCCTAAGAAAATGGTTTGGAGAAATGTTGGCTTAAGTTCCTACTCCCAATAAAAATATAAGAATACTTTCACCTTCCAATAAAAATACAACCATCTTGGAAATTTTTAGTTGCAGAAAAATAAGGCATACTGACATGTCCTCACAGAAATGAAAATACATTAGTACGTCAAAGAATCAAGGTAACAGTCCAAAACTATAACACAATCTATTAAATGGAGCAAATTGGTCACTAGGAGTCACTTCTCATTAAACTTAGATTTTAAAAAAAAAGAAAAATCCAGTATTTTTACAAAAAACAGCCAAGTGTCGAACAACATGTACTATGCTACCATTTTAAAGGGGGGAAAAAAAGGTGGGGTAGGGGTGGAAAGGAATCTCACTTTTTATTATATATACCCTTGGTACTATCTGAATTCTTTTTTACTATGTGCAAGTAGTAATCTTAAAAAATATTTATGTTTATACTTAGATACATGCACATACACATATATTCATTCTGGTCTTAAGGAAAGGAATTAACTATTTCACTTTATATTAAACAAGAGAATTAATATATAAGGAGAAGGTGCCCAAGGATTCATAAAATACTTCTAAATCCAGAAGGCTTACCTACTGACCAAAGCCCTTAAATGACTATGGCTGATAACTTCCCATGATGCAATTCATGGATCAGTATTCTAAAACTTTTAAGACCTGGTAATATCTGAACGATGCAGTTAGGTTTAAGAGGCTCACCTGCCCTGTGGGTAAAAGCTCACAGGGCTGTGGGCCTTTTCAAGATTTTTTATTTATTTAAAACATTTTTTAAATTTATTTATTTAATATTTTCTTAACACTCTATGAGCAAAAAGAATTACTTTATAATTCACATAAACTATAAAAGAAACAGAAAAGTGAAGAAGAATGGCCTTAGTGTCAAGAGCAAGATGATGAGGCCTAGTCTTAATGCAAAAAAGTAAAGAAAATGGAAGTAGAGACAGAGAGAGTATCACTGTCTTTATCTATGAAGAGGTAAAGAACTGCAATTATATTTTGGGGGACATACATGTAATGATGAATGGAATCGCAAGTATTTGTCAACCCAGCATAGTTATGTACTTGAGAGAGCGGAGTTAGACAGCCTGAATGTGAATCCTGACTCTGTCACTTATTCTATGATCTTAGAAATTATTTAACTTCTCTATGCCTCAGTTTTATCATTTGTGAAATGAGGCTATGATAGAGAATAGGTCTCATAGGGTTACTGTGAAGATTAAGTTGAGTTAATGCATGTAACGTTCTTTACGTTGTGCCTAGCCCATAAACCACACTAAATATGCAGGGTTAGTCATTATTAAATTAGTATACAACAAAAATGGTAAATTTGGAATAACATGAGGAAATGCTTACATTAAAATGTTAAATGGAAAAAAAAGGTAATAAAACTATTTTTGGAGTACAATCTATTTTTAAAATATATTTTAAAAGGCCGGAAGGAAAGTTAATGAAGTATTATCAGTTGCTATCCCTGAATAAAGAATTATGGATGCTTTATTCCTTCTACTTTCCTGTATTTTCAATGAAAAAATAAGTCTTACTGTTTCTTCTATGAGTGCAACAACTTTATGCTTTAAGAAAAATTAATCTAGATCTTAAAAGAATATACAGTCAACTAAGCCAACCCTCTACACTTGCACTAAGCACAAGGCATGCTGTAAGGAAATATTCTACACAAAGGACAGAGTTCACCTCCTTTCTAAGGGTATACAAAAACTGTCACAGCTACTTAACAGCTACAAAAATAAACATGAATATTAACCACTGTAGTCCAGAATGTACTCTGACTTCAACACTAGAAAACTTTATCCAAACTCTATGTTGAAAACTATATGATGATGCATACCATCAAACCAGTCAATGGCTGCCTTAGCTGAAGGGGGATCATCAAATGACACTGTAGCCTCCCCTTTTGGCTTCCCCGTGTCCTTGTCTGTATAAAGATTTATCATCGGTTTTCCAGTCTTCTTGTTTGTCTGAGGAAAAAGCAAGTTGGTGCCAGATAATATTTTAAGAATAAATGATATGAATTTGCTCTGTAAACTTTCACCCAAATCACAATAAAAAAATTTTTAAAAAATAAATAATTAAAAAAAAAAAAAAAAAGAATAATGATTATGTACTATTCAGATAATTTACAACAGAAAATACTATACACTTAATATAAAAATAGTTATCTATAGGTACTGAAGGACCTCTGGTGGCATAGTGCCTAAGGCATTTGACTGCTAATCAGAAGGCTGGTGGTTCAAACCCACCAGCCATTCCTTGGAAGGAAGACTAGGCAATCTACTTCTGTAGTGGTACGGCTTCAGAAACCCAAGGAGGGGTCGCTATAAAGTCAGATTTGACACGACAGCAGTGTGTTTGGTTTTTATCATTATAGGTACTGACAAGAGAAACGCTTTAAGCTACATTATAAAATGAAAAAACAAGTTATGAAAATGACTATTTTACTTATATACAATTTCTTTAAACCCACAAAAAAATAAATACATGTAAATACGTATCTTATAATACATAGAAAAAGGTCAGGAAGTTCAAACCCACCAGCCACTCTTTGGAAGTAAGATGGGGCAATCTACTTCCGTAGTGACACTGCCTCGGAAACCCAAGGAGGGGTCGCTACGAGTTGGGGCCGACTCGATGGCACATAACAACAACAACAATAAAGCATTGTATATTGGGCTAATATATAGCACAGACATTTAAATACCAAAAAAAAGTTCTTAATAACCTGAGTTTACATATATTGACTGGCATTTAAGAATCTACGAAATACTCTCACAATTTCATTTGGGTCTCACAATTTTAGGAGGTAGACAGGGACTATATTTAGAGCCTTGGATTAAAAGCTAAATAAAGCACAGATAGGCGCTAGAAAGGTGAACACAAGGAAGGAAGAAATTTGTTAGCAAATTTAACAAAGGCATACAGACATGGGTAAGCATGCTCATTAAAAAATGTTAAGAGCCAAGTCTTACTGGAGTACAGGCTTACTATGTAATCTTCATCACTATTAACCAAAATGTTCCAATAATTACGAGTGTTTCAACCTAAGTCATATTTTTTACTCACCTTGATAATTCCTATTTGCTTAAAGAACTCCCCCACTTGATCAGTAGACACACCCTCCCCAAGTCCTTGCACAAAGATTGTGTTGTTATCTGAATTATCAGATTCTGAATCTAAAAGGGAAAGAAGTTATGGTTAATTTTACATATTCCTTGGTTTTACTACATCTTGTTCAGTATTCAAGAACAGTGATTTATAGTCTGATATTCAACCATTTCTATAACAAAAGGAAGAAAGACCAATAATAAGAACCTTATACAGACATGCAAAGTGGTCAAAATAGTTATTTGGTAGTAGATCAATTTTTACAGCTAAACTTTAGATAAAATCGATCAAGTACACCACTGTGTCAAATACACAGACCAAATAAGGGAGATCTCACAAATCTCACTCTTCAAATTCAGATATAAAACTAAAGCTCATGAAGAGATGAAGAGAGTTAGTATATATTAGCATTCTTTTCTCTGGAGAGTTTTAATTCTTTATGGCTAATCAGTACTTTTAAGGCTCTCTAGTAGAAAATTCTCCAAATCTGGTACTTTGGACTTTCAAGCAAGCCAAGCAGAATTGCTGGTTTCTCATTCAATGAAGTAAGCTTTGTATATACCAGAAGGTAGGAGGAGCACCTTATACACACACCTTACCTTACACGCATACTTTTGGATTAGTACAACAAAGCAAGAAAGATGTACAAAAATTCAGTCCATCAAGGGATAATTCAGAAATTGCCATCCTTATAGAATACTTTGGCATCTTAATAAAAACAAAAGTTCTGATTTCAATATATATTAAAATTTTTTGGCTCAAATAGATTTTTAACCTCTAAAAATCAAAACTTTCAAAAGGCTCTATGAGTAAATCTGGAGCCTTGAATTTCATTTAAAAATAAAAAGCCACATGAAATCAGTGACCTCTGACCAGAATAAGACAATTTTCTCACATATGAACTGAGATTTCTGAGACCAACCAAGAAGAGTACCAATTCAATATAACACTTTCTTAAACAGTTTTTCTAATTCCCCAACAATATCTCATCATATCTGATTTGTAGTAATTAAACAAATAATGCTAATTAGCAGCAAAAAATTGAAGTATTTCTGCAACAGAGAAAAGGAAGAACGTGGGAAAGTGCAAACAGCAATTTCCCACAGCAAACTATCCAATCAATCTCCATGAATTTTTATTTCTGGTATCTCTTTAGAATCAAACTCCTTAGTTCTGGCAGTACTGTCAAATTAATTAATTCTTCCTCCTATACTAGCCTCTCCAAACACACACTTTTCCCTTCCAAAAAAGCAACCAAAATTAACGTTCTCTTAAATGCAAAGTCACAAACTGCCATAAGCCTTACCAGCATCTGGTCTGGGTCCATAATCCCTGTGACCTATAGGAAAAGAAAAGGGAAAAAAAAAAAAGCTATTTAAGGGGGCTCAACTGAAAATATTAAAAAACAGTAATAACAACCAAGGCATGAAAAGTCAATACTTCCAAAATCCTTGAAAGGTCAACCATCACAGATTTACAAAGTAAATATATATATTAATTTTTCTTAAAAATTTAAGAAATAAGATGAATGTTCACATTTCTTTATACTTGTCCCAGACAGCACCTGCCACTTTGGCATTATGCTAGTATCACTTTTGTTAAGTTCTGGTTGTGAAGGCTGATTGGAAAACCCTAATAATTTATGAACACCATGTCAGCTACCTTTATACAAAATCATTTTGTCAAAATCCAGTGAAGGTCTCATTGGTCACCACAGACTCTTTCATGCAAATTCACGGTACAGAAACTGTTTTAAGAGATCAATTTTTTTGCCTTTTTAATGTTTACTTTGATATATATATATGAATATATATATAATTTTTTTTAAGCACACAACACACACCAGCCTCAACAGAGTAAGAAAGGGCTTAGACTGCGTCTGCGGGATATTGGTGGCTCTTAGATTTATATAGCATTTCCACTGAAACATTTTGGGATACTCAGCACTTACCACCAAAATTTTTGAAGCCACCGCGGTCACCACCACTGCAGAGGAAAAATTGAAGAAATGATTTCTTCCTTAAGTCTCTAATGTGCTGAGCCCTGGGCTCAATCTACACTTAACTGTCACAAGTAGAGAGCCTAGGAAAACAGTAGCACCTCTAACTTTCCAGTAAGTTCCATTTCATAGACTTCAAAATGTTGTTTCCACCTAAGTGTATTCCCAAGGATCTATTTGCACAAGTTTTCAAACGTACTTAATATAGCTAATATACTTTTATTTAAAAATCTTCCCAACCCCAAGCCAAAGGGACACTACTGAAACCATAACATAAAACTAGAGGCACAGCATGAAGAATGCTAAACCACAACAAATATTCTATCCATGGGAATATTTTTAAAATATGAGAAAAAGGAACAAGACTAGCAGGAACAATATAAAGATTTTGATAACAGAATGGGAGTGGTAAAAACTTGAGTATTATTTCCTATTGTGGTATCAAATAGTGGGTTTTATGAGATGAAGGAAAAAAGTGAGGTAACATATACGCAAATATAAACCTGAATAAAAGTAGCCCTAAAATTTCAAATCATTCAGAAATCTGATAAAATGAAGACTAAAAGAAATATAATTTTAAATTGCCCTCCTACTTCATGTTGTTGTTGTTATGTTGTTGTTGTTATGTGCCGTCGAGTCGGCCCCGACTCATAGCGACCCCTCCTTGGGTTTCCGAGGCAGTATCACTACAGAAGTAGGATTGCCCAACCTTCCTTCCGAGGAGTGGCTGGTGGGTTTGAACCGCCAGCCGTCTGGTTAGCAGGCAACTGTCTTAGCCACTAGGTGCCATGAAATTGACTCTGACTCACAGCAACCCGAGGCAGAACAGAACAAAACACTGCCCAGTCCTGTGCCATCTTCACAATTGTTGCTGTTTGAGCCCACTGTTGCAGCCACTGTCTCAATCCATCTCGTTGAGGGTCTTCCTCTTTTTCACTGACCATCCATTTGACCAAGTATGTCATCCATCTCCAGGGACAGAGCCATCCTAACAGCATGTCCAAAGTATGCAAGATGAAGTCGCATTCTGGTTGTACTTCTCCCAAGACAGATTTTGCTTCTTGTTTTGGCAGTCCACGGTATATTCAATATTCATCACCAGCACCATAATTCAAATGAATCAGTTCTTCTTTGGTCCCCCTTATTCACTGTACTACTCCACACTCATTATAACGTACCATCTTTACACATCAGAGCTACTAAAGTTCATATTGCTGAATACTCTCTACACTGATCAGTAGAACACATTAGAGAACACAACATACCGCAATATTACCACTGCCCACAACAAGACAATTTGGCAAATTTCCACTGCTAGATAATCAATGATGCTCACACACACAGCTTTATGTCAAAATCCAAGATTTCTCTCAAAAAACACTTTAAATAATCACCTACTAAAAACGTGCTTTTCTTGACTGAATTATGTAATCCTTTAAGATTCAAACCATGAGCTGACAAGGGAACAAAAAACACCAAAAGCTTTCAGATGGTATTGTCTAATCTTCTGCTAGTACTAAACTACTATAACCCAAGAAACTAAAACCTCTGCTTTCATGATCACCCTACCTTCTAGGTTGATTTTCTGAACCATTCTGAGAAAAAGAATGTGTTCTCTCTTGGTAATAAATCTCTATTCTACTACCTCAATGCAAAATCTGTTTCCCTTGCAACCAGCTTAAGTATAGTCACATGCATTTTAACTTGCTATTCTCATTTGTAGAAAGAATATGGCTACTTCAAGGCATATAGACAATGTCAAACACATTCACACACAGCTAGCTTTATATTCATATAGCTTCCAGTGAAGCTTCTAAGATGCCTATTTTATAACAGTACTCAAGTCCTTTTTACATTTCTAAATGATATGCTTAACTCTTTAAGAAAGGAAAGCAAAAAAGGTTCTTAGAAGTAAATTACTGGAAATCTTATTAGCAGAAACCAAAATATCTCAAATTTCTTTAAATATGATTGCTGAAACTCCAAAGGAGAGAAAAGAACTAGTAAAAATATTAATCCCATCTTCCCATATCAAGAGGTTAAAGTATCCAGAATATACCTTTTAAATAGGAAAACTGAAGTCACTATTTTCCCAAACACTAGAAAAGATATCTCTTAATTATTCTAGTGTCACATTCATGGAGTACCAAATGTTTACTTGGCCACAGCAAGGAAAAACGATGCAATGTCATACATCAGCTAGTTCCTATAATTTTTACTTTGGCTAGGAATATAACTTTGAACAATAAATTTAAAAGCAGGGGACAACTGACATGTGAATAGGTATGTAATTCCCTATTCCTCTATACAATGACATTAAAAAAAAAATTTATTGTGATTTGGTTGAATGTTTACAGAGCAAATTTATTTTCCACACAGTTCATACACATTTTGTTCCATGATGCCGACAATTCCCTACAATGTAACAGCTCTCTTCCCACTTCCTCCCTGTAGCTGCTACTTCCTTGTGTCCTTCTCTCCCATGCACTTCTGCCCCGCTTGAGCCATCTCCCAGTGCAAACACAGCCCTCCTGTTCTCCTATGACTGATCGCTCCAAGGAGTATATCTACCTGATATAAATGTTCACCCCATATGCCTGTCTATTGTTTGGCTGGAAGTGAGTTCAGCTCTGGATCTGAAAGGTAACTAGGGGCCATAGTCTCAGAGGTCTCGCCAGGCTCTATTAGACCAGCAAACCTGATCTTTTTTTTTTTTTTTTTATGGTTTTGAGCTTTGTTCCACACTGTTCTCCTATTCTATCCAGGATCTCCTGTACCAATCCCCCTCCAAGTTGTTGACAATGGTAGCCGAGCACCATCTAGTTCTTCTGGTCTCATGGTCATATAGGCTGAGGATCACATGGTCTACTAGTGCCCTCGGACTAACTGCTTCCATGCATCTTTGTTTTGCTTCATTCTTCTTTGCTCTGGACACGGAGAGATCCATCATTGCAGCTAGATGCCAAGTTTTTAAGATCCCAGTCGCTACTCACCAAATCAGAATGTAGAACAATGTTTTTGTATAGAATGTATAGTATAGTATGTTTTTGCCAACTGAACTTGATGGCCCCTGTGGTGACAGTTCCAAGCCCACAGGTTCAACTACTTGCTTCCTCAGGGTAGCTGGCTATGGCCAAGAAGCCACCACAATCTTGTCCCTTATCAGCTCCACTATACACCCATTCTTACAACACATACTAATACATTTGTAGAAACATGGTCTGCCAACCCTATACATAGTCATGGGCACATTTCCCCCTGCCTAGACATACCTGATCATTAAGCCTAACCATTCATCTATCCACCCATAGATCAATGCTTGCTGTCACTGACTATGCAGTACTGTACATGCAAAAGGGTTCATCTTTGTTGTCTGTACCTCCTACGTATCTCTGTCTTCCTCTTCCTAATGCCACCATGTTGATCACTCACTTTTGGTACACTGCCCTTCCCCTCACCCAAATCAATACTTTCTATACATCTAGCAAAAGCTCTGGTAGCATAGTGCCTAAGGCACTTGACTGCTAACCAGAAGGCTGGCAGTTCAAACCCCCAGCCACTCCTCAAAAGGAAGGTTGGGCAACCTACTTCCATAGTGATACCGCCTCAGAAATCAAGAGGGGTTGCTATGAGTTGGGTCTGACTCGACAGCACATAACAACAACCCATCTAGCAATGCTCCTTCCTTCCCCTCCTCTCCCCTCCCCTCCCTCGTAACTAACAAAGTTTCCTTCCACATATAAACCTTTCATTGGCTTTTTACAATAATGAACTAATACAATGTATGTCCCTCTGTGACTGACTTATTTCACTAAGCATGATATCCTCCAAGTTCATCTACATTATGCTGGGCTTTGGAGATTCCACATTATTCTTTAGTGTTGCATAGTATTCCACTGTGTGTATGTACCAGTTTGGTTATCCATTCTTCTGTTGATGGGCACCTAGGTTGCTTCCACCTCTTTGCTATTATAAGTAATGCTGTGATGAACATGTTGTTGTTGTCGTTATGTGCCGTGGAGTTGGACCTGACTCATCCCAACCCCTCCTTGGGTTTCCAAGGCTGTATCACTATGGAAGTAGATTGTCCAACCTGCCTTCCAAGGAGTGGCTGGTGGGTTTAAACCATCAGCCTTCTGGTTAGCAGTCAAGTGCCTTAAGCACCATGTGCATATATATGTTCTTGTCCTGGCTCTTACTTCTCTAGGATATATACCTAGTAATGGGATCGTTGGATCAAATGGTATTTCTAATTCCAAGTTTTAAAGAAATCACCATACTGCTTTCCACAGTGGTTGTATCATTTTACAGTCCCACCAGCAATGTATTTGAGTCCCGGTCTCTCTGCACCCTCACCAGCATTTGTTATTTTCTGCCTTGTTGAACTTTGCTATTAGTGCTGGGGCAAGATGGTATCTCACTGTTTTGGTTCGCATCTCTCTAATTACTATTGATCATGAACACTTCTTCATGTGTTTGTTAGCTGCTGGATATCTTCTTTGGTGAAACGTCTATTCATGTCTTTTGTCCATTTATTAACTGGATTGTTCGTCTTCCTGTTGTTGAGATGTGGGAGTTTTCTATAAATATTAGAGATAAGTCTCCTGTCAGGTGTGTCATTGCTAAATATTTCTTCCCAATCTACAAGTTCTCTTTTTACTCTTTTGGAGAATTCTTTTGAAGCACATAAAAATTTAATTTTTAAAAGGTCCCATTCATCTAGTTTATCTTCTGCTGTCTTGTGCATTCTGGGTCATGCTTGAGAATTATTTATGCCATAAATTAAACAAACAAACAAAAAAAACCCAAACTCACCACCAATGAGTCAATTCCAACTCACAGAGACCCCCACTGGGTCTCCCAGGCTGTAGATCTTTACAGAAGTAGATCATCCCATCTTCTTTCCACAGAGCGGCTGGTAGGTTTGAACCATTGACCTTCTGCCTTACCCACCACACCACCAGAGCTCCTTATGCCATAAATTAAA